GATAAAGGCAGATTTCAGTGTCTCAATCGTAATACAGAACATCGTACTTCAGCAAGTACGGTTCAATGAAGGCACGAGCAGCGGCGATGCGTTCATAGACACCTGGCGAGTTGCGCTGCCTACAGCAAAGGCCCCCTCTGAGCACCCCCACCAAGAGCGGGAACGCATTTTCTTCAGAGATCAACGGTGCCCCCAAGTCGAGTAGACACCCGTGGTCTCCTTCCCCCCCTCCAGCAACCATAATATTATCGGGCACAGTGTCGCCGAGCCAAGTCCATCTCTTGATTTTGTTCCAGACCTTGACGCTGACCTCATTGAGCTCTGAAGATTTGGGGACACCACTCTTGACGTATCCCCAACCGCGTACCCAAGTTAATGTGTACCAGTCAGTGAATTTAAACGACACCGTCACAGGTTGGATGCTCGTGATGTTGCGGTCCAAGATTACGATGCCCACGTCGGTGCCATTGGGGTCTTCGATTTGCCGGGTGACAGTGGCCAGTTCCCCGTCGGCAAAACCGGTTAAAGAGTGCGTGCCCACGACCACAGAAGTTAGACCTTCGTTGAAACAAGACGCCGCTGTCAAAACGACATTGGGGGCGATCAGACTGCCGCCGCACACGGTCTCACCATCGGGTGACTTCTTGAGCCCAGCCACATAACGGTGCTTGCCGACTTGGGCTTTCTGTCCCCCGAGAATTTAGGGAGCGTCATTAGGGGGCTTATAGCCGCAAACGCTGTTGCGTTTCAACTTGACGGACCTTGCGAAGTCCGATCCAGATGCAAAGCACAAAGTGAATTCCCCCTAGTGGCAAGTAGTCACTGGGGCTTAACCCTAACCTAATCAGACAGCTGCTGTGCAGCCAATAATCTAACTAGCGAATAGGATCACACTCAGGGTATCCAACCTAATCGAACACTTGGCTTGGATACCTTCATGGGAGGGGTTCAGGGGTTCTGCGAATGGAAAATTCGCAACAATCCCCCCAAGGATTGCGTCACTCCCAACGCAGCTGTCATCGCCTTGACTTGGGGATCAGCCTTGTTTGAGCGCACGTAGCGCTTGAACTCAGTTGGAATGTCTTCCAACAAATTGGCCGCCGGCTCCCACGAGTCTTCAATTGCTTGTAGGCCGCGCCAGCGCACACACACTTCAAAGGCGGCCATTCGATCGTTGTAGCGGCAGTCGAGAAACGGATCAA